ACCCACCGGCCACCAGGTGGCGCCGGAGACGCGCCTGCCACGCCAACGGGGTGGGTCGTCCCCAGAAGAGTCCCCAGACCGTATAGATTCTATAGAAGTTGCTGGGCCCGGCCCGTGTGGCCCAGTGGTTGAGCGTCCGCCCGTGCACCACGAGTCACTGGTTCCATTCCCTTGGAGGTGACTCATGCCCGGGTTGTGGCTTGATCCCCAGCTGACCAATGCTTCTCTCTCATCAATGTTTTTCTCTCTCTCCCTCTCCCTCTTTCTCTAAAATCAATAAAAACATTAAAAAAAAAAGAAGCTTATTGGACAAAAAGAAAAAAAAAAGCACTGGGTTCAAAAGATGTCATATATAAGTAACACAATTATTATATATTTAAGCGGTGACATTGCATCTGAATTTGTCTCTTCCCTCCCAGAGGCGGGGACCTGTCCCTGCTGGGTTAGAGGAAAGAGCTGCGGGTGATTCCCAGAGTACCAGGTTCCAGCGCAGTGAGAGGTGGGCAGAATTTGGAGGGGAGTGGAGCAGAGGGAAGGGGAGGGGCCTCGTAAGAGGGTGGGTGGGGTTGGGCAGTGCAGTAGAGGGGGTGGAGGTGACATCCCTGTGTTGCCCAGCTGGGGGCTGGCCAGGGTTTGTCCCAGAGTGGGCTCAGGGACGTTAGTGGAGGTGGTCCTCACCATGGTGTCCAGCTCCGCTGGCATCACACCAGGCCTTGAAAGACACTGAGGGGCCACCCTGGGCTGTGCCTGGCCCTGTCTCCCCGGCCTCACATCATCCATAGCTCCCCAGGGCCCTTGAGACAGCACCGGGCCTCAGCCTGACCCTGCTTGCCAGTGGCAGCTGACATCGCCTGGCAGACGAGGTCAGGGAACTGTCTGTGGGCGCAGGGCCAGGAGTGACACCCCAGGTCCTTAGGTCAGAAAGGCGTAATAAGGAGGTCTCTGCCCAGATGTTAGGGTGCGTAGGGCAGTGTCTCGGACCTGGGAGCAAAGTGGGGGAGCATCCAGGGCGACCGGGCCTTGACCCCACCCCCAGCCCAGACTGGACCAAGGTGGGGAGGTAGAAGGGCCCTGTGTCAAAGTATAATTTCCCAAAAGCTACAATCATGACTCTCGTACAATTAGAGAACACACAGTTGTCAAAGAGTTAATTCAACTCATTAATTAATGAGGGAAGAGTGAGATGGTAAAGCTGATGCCAAGAGCCCTTTGGAACGGGGTTTGCATGGTCCATTTTAAAATGCCAGGGCGAGATTCGGAAACTCCGTTTAAAACCCTGATCGCTCCATGAGACGATCAAGAGCAATCTTTGGTTTTGTATCAGATACAAATCCACAAGTTAACCTGTAACTTCACCAAACTCGAGCCCTTCATTAATGGTAATTAGCAAGGCAGACAGAAGCTTCCTGAAAAGAATCCGAGGAGACATTTGTCCCGAGAGGACATACCAATGGCCAACAGACACGAAAAGATGCTCAAGTCGCTGCTCACCAGGGATCGAGACCCAGTGCCGCGCCACCTCACGCCTGCCAGGCGGCGATCAGCAAAAGACAAGAAGCGCCCAGAGCTGGCGAGGATGCGGGGAAGGGGGCCTCGTGCGCTGT